AGCATGTTCCTGCAAGGGCAGTTATTTGAAGCGTTACTTCCAGGGATTTGTCTGCTTTTCTAACCCAGGTTTAACCTCCCTATGGATCATCCAGGACTGGGATCCATCATCTACCACAGCCCCATTAAAGTGTATGCTCAGGGTTTTGCCTGGTAAGTCACATTTACTATCACCTAAAGGAAAAAAAATCACACACAATTTCAGTTTTAGTTCATTTACAGTGTAATCCCCTTCTCACTGATAAGAGAATGTAGCAGCACTTCTCAGAATGTGACTCCTGTTCTCACTGTGGTACTGTATAACTAAAGTTTAACCTCCCACCAGAGTTTTTGAAAATTTAAAGGACTGAACTAACTTCTTACTCCTCCCTCCTTCCCTTCCCTTGCACATGGGATATCTTGTTCTATATAAATTGGATGGCTACTTTAAATGTATCATGGCAACTGTTAACACTAAGAGTAGGTAGGCACAAAATACAGGAAAACACAAGATGTTATCACAGAGGCACAGCCTGAAGATATTAGGGTTAGTATGAGAGAGCACAAGCCAAGAAGTGCCTGTTCTCACCCTCTGCCTTGCCAAGGCTTACTCAAATATATCTTCTTACCTAATTATTTCCTTCATTAGTTATTATACAGCGAAAGTGTAACATTACTTCAATCTTAGATACACACAAGCTTTTTAATATGCATGGTCCTATTGGTAACGCACTGTTTGTTTCTTCTTTCTTTTTTAAATTGAAATAGTAACAGTAAAGTGGGTGCAGTAGCACCCACTGCACCCACCCATGTCTGAGGGGCACTGTGACTTGCTCCTTCTTCAGGAGCCCCAAGGCCTGGGCCAGAAACCCTAGGCCGGACCCCAGAGCTCCCCTGGCCTCTATGACCTGGGGGGCGCTCCAGGGGGTAAGTGGAGCCAGGGCTGGTGGCAGAGGCTTCGTACCCACACTAGCGTGGAGCTGGGCTGCTACCAGGCTTGTGTATGGTCCCAAGAGCAGGAGAGCACGTCCACGTCCAGCAGTTCAGGTATAGGCAACTGTCCTGAAATAAATGGACTTACTTATGAGCAAAACAATTAGGTATAATGACTATGTAGGCACTTTTATATCACTGAAGGCATTGCTTCAATGTACTTTAAGTGTGTACTTCAATGTACTTTAAGTTACTTACCTAGTTCAGCAAAGGTATGGGAATATTACACCTGTTAAGTGTATAAAGGACTGAATACTAATAATTACTGGCATACCTCTAACATGACATTAGTAATGTGTGGCTTGGACAAAGCGACTTATTTTAATAGATGATACAAAGTTCAGGATAATTAACTTTTCCTGAATGGTAGGAAAATTCTGCTGGTGTTCAAGAAATTAAGATGAGAAACCTGTGAATTAAATTGAAATTAAAACAATGCTTTTACCAGGGAAAAAAATGAATCTGTTTATTTTGTTGCTAATGGTAAATAACAACTGGAAAATCTTCATAATGAGAATATCTCACTGGATCATCCTTGTATTTTTTTAAGGATTATAAAGTCAATGCACAGAAAAAATGCAGTGCAGATCATTATAGATACTTTGATGTCAACGGAGAAGCCAGTCTGTATTATCTGGAGATGTGCCTCATGCTGCACATTCCAATAAATGGGTATGACAGCGCAGTCAATGACAATACCTGAACTGAAACATTTTTTTCAGGCAGGCTTGAAAAGGAACATAGTAAGTACAACCTGAATATTGCAATGTGTTGAGCAAAGGAACCTGGAAAGCTTAGGAGCATGGGAAGAAAATGATAGAACAAAATTAATTTAGGAATAGTTCAGGTAGATGCAACTAAGGCAAAATAATCTGTAACACTGGAAAACTGCAAAGATTAGCAACATGCTGCAAAGTATTTCATCAGGAGCAATATTGTTGGAAAAGCTCTAGAGCTGCTTTTGAATAAGAAACACTCATTAATACATTTTTAATATGATAAAGCACAAAAATACCCCATGGATTTTGTATTTTGTGCTCAAAAGCACCATGCTATGGCACACATATTAGGATGTTTTTCCTGTAAATGTAGTTTCATGGTAATTAAGATAATGAGAAATTAGTTCTTGCTTTCTGTAATCCCTTTATGATTTTGATGCAAAAGTGTTTGGGACACCATATTACCAGAAAGATGTTGACAAACTGGAAGCTGTATAACGAACAGCAACAAGAAAAAAGCATCTGGGGGCAAAGAAGAGGGTATAGGAGGGGAAGGCAAAATAGCAAAATATGTTTAATTTGATGGAACTCCACAAGAAAAAAAAAGAACTTCTGAAAGGCATTAATACCAAGGATGGCAGGTATTTCATACTGTATACCAATGCACAACAGAAAGACCTAGGTGAAATTACAAAAGGGAAAAATTGTATTGAAAATCCAGAATATATTCTAGCTGTATTAACTGTTCCTTAAGGAGCCTTAAGGTAAAAGCCTGTTGCTCTGGACATTTGTTGAAAGAAAATGTGCAGCACATGCACTTTTATGGAGATAGCAATCAGTGAAACCTTTCTCCCGCTTTAGCTTCTCAGACTTTTTGATATGCTCGAGAACGGTTCTTTCAGTTTAAACAGCACTCAAAGAGCCATCAGACTTGCCCTAACATGCTACCAGTGCTCTTGCCCTATTTTGAAAGCGTACTTCACTCAGTTGCCACTAGAAGCTTAGCCAGGAAGCACCTCACTTGCCATATATAACTCTTCCTAGCATGCTATAATAGCTTATTCAGCCAGTAAGGCTAGTGGGTTTTATGGGTGCATCTGGAAGTTTCCAAGATAGTGATTAGACAAATTTGGAAGAAAAGAGCCCTAAAACTCAAACATGATATTTATGAGTTTCTTCATGTGATTATCAGTTTTCATTATCCCATTTTCATTCTTCTGCATTTCTTGATTTCTCCAGGAAGATATGAGGAATGGAGATCGCTCTTAGAAGAACAACCAATTGCAACTATGGTGCACAGCAAAAGAAAAGTGTTTCATATTCCTACATCTATTTTTTTATAGCTGGAAAGCAAGGTACACTGTAACACCAGTCGTGATTTCTAGCATGTTGGGATAGCAAAGCAGGGCTTCCCTGAGAACACCCAGACTTGCTAGTTGCTGCAATCCTGATGAACTGGGATATGAGGCCATGTGGTGGTGATGGGCATCCAGGGGCATGACGGACCCATGCCTTGCACTGCTCATCCTAGGCTGGCAGCCCCAGAAAGCTTGTGGCATGAGACTGCTGATGGAGGATGTGCCTGTTCCCTGGCTGCAGTGTAGCACTGATGGTCAATGGAAAGCACAAGCCCTAGCAGGACAGAGAGGGCAGAGGAAGGAGGGATATGCCAAAATAGCAAGCTTCATGCTCAGCAGGTCTGAATTAACAGGTCTGGGAAAACAGCTGCTTTTTAAAGCCTTTCTTATCTGTCCATCTGCCACAAGCATTCAAAGCCACATCCATTAGGTTGAGACACACTAGAGGTGTTTCTCAGGCATTCTTATGGATGAGGTTTTTTTTTTCTTCCAAACTTAAAAAAGAAAAAAATCCCAAGTGGTCATGCAAAGAGCAGGAATTTCTGCCTTCCCTGTGCTCAGGGTTTCTACAGCTCATCTCCATACTTTCTGAATAGTATCTGCTGTTGAATTCTCCTTTCTTTGCCTCCCAATGGCACGTCTGTGTTGGATTTCCACTTCACAATCCATCTTTCTGGACGAACAATTGGCAGACTGTGCCCTGGGAAACTGTAGTGTTTGTTCCATATCAGAAAAGAAGGGCACATTGTTGTTGCACTGGAAGTTAATAACAAAACGTTTGTCCTGCTCTTTATATTGGCTTTGTAAACTTGACTTTCTTAGGAGTAAATACAGTTGCTGCCCAGACCATGCAAAACATCGCTACTGCATCAAATATATATGTTTCTTCTAATCTGCAAACCACAGGGCAGATTGAATTAACATTATTGCTGTCTGTCTGCAAATAGCATTGACTGTCAAAAGCATATCTAGGGCAAGAACGCGTCACTGATTAGAGGGACTAAACAGCCGCTCCAGCTGTACAAATATGATATTGCTCAAAATGCTGTGTAAGTATATCAGAAGCAGGTTTCCACCTAGTCACTGCATAACCTTCCCTGGGGCAGGGAGAGGGTTGCTTTGCATCTGTAATTTCTCAGATGGGAAAGAGCATAAATCTGTCCTGGAAGAGACGAGAAGTCTTTCCATTTTTGCAACAGCTAGTGTGGTTTCTCTGCTGGCCTTGTGTTTGCTTAGGATGGGCCATTGTTATGCTTTTTTTCTGAGCAGTTGAATTTTGCTATTGTTCACTCAGTGGGGAATGTTTCAGATTTTGAATGTCTTGTATATACAAGTATATATTAGCCAAAATTTATCTGCTATACTTAAAGATTGTTTAGGGCAACTGTTTTTCCCTAGGTCAGGTTCTGCAATTTTCTTTTACATGTGCCTGCTCGTGATTTCCCCGTCCTGTGAATCCCACCAAAGCAGCGTTTTCTGTGTTCCCTCTGCTGGCTCTGCAGCAGCAGCTCACTAACAAGCGCAGTTAGCAAGAGCTGGGCACGGCACAAGTGTCTTGCCATGGGACAGCCACTAGATTGCTGCTTATAGCACTCAGGATAATAGTATCTCCATGCAAAACCGCAAAACTGAAAAAAAAAAAAAGTAAGTTGGATAAAAGGAAAAAGAGGATAAAGTTAGTACAAAAAAGATGTATTTTCAAAGTTGCAGGCATTTCCAAATGAAAGCACAGGCTTAAAAAAAAATGAATTAAAGCTACAAAAAAAATTGTCCAGTATCCTCTTCATTAGATCTGGACAATCAAATTAAGGCATTGTGTGAAACAGGGAACATAAGCAAATTTCCCATCTTTAATGACATGCACCACATTTGTCCCATCATTAGACATTATAAACCAATCAGAAAGAGAAAGCAAGGGGTAAAACCACTCTTTGTCATGCAGCTTCTCTTACACATTCACTGCAGTGTGGGATTTTTCAAAGCTGCACATGTGCCGACGGACACTGGCTGGTGGGCGAGAACTCTGGCTGCCTCTTCCTGAAGATGGAAAAGAAAAAGACACCCATGAGTGGTTATACACATGTGCACACATGGTGGCTAGACCACTCAGTAGGGTGCCTGTCTCTCGCCTGCTTCTAAATGTCGCTGTGTCCTTCCCCGTCTTTCCTCGTCTTGGTCATGGTGGCAGCCACCTCCGCTTTCATAGTGGTTCCCATTTGCCCAACATGGTATTAGTTAAATTAGGTTCTCATGGGTTTCTCCCTACTCTCGCTGCTGAACCTCCTGTGCCAGATGGCAAGGGTTGCAGTGCATTTAGCTGTCAGTGGGAATTCTCCCCTGGCATTCTCTGTGCAGGATAAAATGTTAAAAAAGGAGCATCTGTCTTTCTCATCTAGCAACATTACTGCAAGTTTTTGTCAGTGGAGTTTTTAGTATATGCTCAATTCCTGCCTTTTCTCTGTGACTCTCATTTGCTTATTCTGCTTTTCTAAATGTTTCTTTTAATGCAGGCTGAATAGTCACTAGCTTTCATTATATGTGATTTCCCCACACGTGTCTCTTTTTTCTCATTGATACATTGGCCTTATTTAGATAGACACAAATTAAAGGGTCTCCTAGACACTCTTATATGCAATTCGGTAATTCCAAAAGGGATTTCAGATTGCAGTTTTCAGCTGCTAATATAAGATAATTTCTAGTTTATTCTCTATCTTAACCTTGGAAATGGATGTAAGCTGTCATTTGCCTTTCCCGGTATCAGTATAAAGATACACACATATGCATGTGCTTTGACAAAAATCTCAGGTATTTTTGCATATGGAATGTATCAATGAATTTCTGCAAAAAAAAAAAAGTCACTGTATTGCAAATAAAATGCAAATCACAATTCAGCATTTCTCCCAATCCAACACTCATAATGCATGCTTGCCAGACTTCTGTTTATCTCCAGACAACAGATTAATGGATGGTATGTACATGTACTACATGCTAAGTAAAACTGCTAATGAGCCCAAAAAAGCCATTCTTCTCACCACATAGTAATGAACAGTACAGAGTGATGTACACAGAAATACATGCATACTCATTTTGGAGATGCAAATTGAAGTGGGAACTTTGTTGTGAACTATGATAAATAAAACACAAATAAGACACTACCGAGCAATTTTGTAAACCTACCCACTTTGAGGTCTCTAGAATAATTCAGTTCCTTACCAGCCGTAATGAGATAGCTGAGATACCTGAAATACCTGATAAAGGCGATAATACTTAGGAACTTAGCTACCATGACTGCTCCTACACCCTATTAAACTTATAGAGATTATAGAGCTTCCGATTAAACGAATACCCAGCATTTCTATAGATCTTCAGTTTTCTTCATTTATTGACAGAACAAGAACTTTTTACTTTTTGTGAAAATTGTGAGTCATGTTATTCCTGCTTGTTAAAAAATGAGAAAAGAGTAGTTTATTCAGTCACAGCAGCTAATGCCACAAAACAAGTAGCAACTTGCAGTCAGTTAATTGGAGAGAAAAATCCAGCCCCAAATGTATTTCACACAGGCGTGAGAGATATATGTGCATCCGAAGGCACACAGCTCCAGTGAGCCTTTTCCAGGGACAATGATAAAGGTAGAAATCTTTCATTTCAGAGCACCACCTGGATCCCTGATCCTGATGAGTCTCTACCACCTTTACCAGGAGTCCCTTTGCCATCACTTTTGGCTTCTTTAAACGCATCCTGTGCTTCCTTCCCTGTCTTTCTTCTTATTCCGATATATCCCCACAGTGAGCTAACAACATTTTGCTCTCTGGTCTCTGGGCATGTGCCGTTCTTGTTATGAGTTACTCCAACATGAAAGGAGGAAATAAGTTGCTTCCTAGACACTCCAGAAAAACATCTTTGTGTGTTCACAAACAAGTGAACTCTTTTCTCACTGTGGCTGCAGCTGCTCTCCTCAGCCCAAATCAAATATTGCTGTTACATGTACATTACATTACCCCGTAGATGCCCCGTCAGGATTGCATCCTGTCATTAAAATGCTCCACCAAATCAGTGGCGTGTCTCTTAGCCAAGATCAAGAGGGATCCCCATATGGTGATACACCCAAGGGCATATACACTGCTGAAATCATCTCTACATCCCAGGGCTCGGGCTTCGGCAGAATTTGGATTTTGTACTTACAGGGAAATTTGGATATACATACTGATACAGAAAATGTAGTGTTGATTATATCTCAGTGGATTATTTTTCCAATTATCAAATCTTTGTCAAATGCATAAATAATGATAAAAACTTTTGCTGTGTTAAATTTGAAACATTCTTCCAGGCTTGCTTTTTTTCTAATGTGTGGTAATGCTACAGAATTCTGATCCAGGATTGGTGCTTGAATCTCTGGACTGCTCTATTTTCATTTATGATAATATTTTCTCTCCTTCTCCCAGTCTTGCGGGCAGTAATGGTACTTCACATATATTTTTTCCTGGTTACCAGAAAATTAATCTGCCCATCTTTACAAAACAGTCATTAAAAGGCCATTTTTGGAGCAGTCTTCTCAAAGATATGTATAATTACTGCTGAGTCAATGACACTTATTTGTGTCCTGGACCCAGGCAAGTGGACTTTCTGTGCATTTGAATGAGGACTAGGCATATCATAATGAATGCTTTTTAATGAACCCCAGGGTGCAGTAACACAGCCTCTGTCAGAGAAACCACTGTGGCAGTGCAGAGGGTCCCTGAAGGACGCTGATTAATTGCTTAACTTTATGTTCTTTGAAGCAGAAAAAAAAATGTTCCTAGCCAGTTGGTCAGAATTCAGACAAGGTAACAGGCCTGATGAAATCTGCAGCAAAGAATATAAAGGGTCTGAGGGAAGACTTGCTCTTGCCACTTTTTTTTTTTTGGAAAAAGTGTAAATGAATCATCGCATGAGGCCAACATCTGTGTCAGGGCTGTAGGAAAGTATAAATTGCTATCCGTAATGTTTTATGTCTGAGCAGCTATGAAACTAGAGACATTCACCTACTGCTCTGGAATTATTCTCTCTGCTCATCCAGACTCCCCAAACAGACACAAATTGAATGAATCTGTCTGGCATCCAAAATAACTGAAATATAGGACGCTGTGTTAGCTATCATCTGAGCCCACAGCCAGAGGACCTCCTCACTGGATGCTGCCCCTCTGAGAAATACTTCCACATTCCCCATAGTCAAAAACATACAGAAAAGCACGCCCTCATTTTTTCTGCAATTGAGTTTGAGACCACTGAGCATCAACAACATCAGGAAGACAGCAAAGTGAGAAGGGATTTCAAGAGGAGCAGTGATAACATCATGCTGATACTTACAGTGGCATGATAGCCCTGAATCATTCCCTAGGATTTAATAACTTTTATATAACCCTTAGATTTAACATGGCAGGGGAGAAGCTTTGCGTCACCTTATCCTCTGGACCTTACCATTCCCCACGCTTACTTCATATACTGGCATTCAAAGCAACTGCCCTCTCCACTCCCATAAGATGAGTTGGCAAAAATATGAGCTTTCTGGCCCACTTTTTCTTTCTTTGGCACTCTAGCAGTCTACAAGGTGACAGGGGAGGTGAGCATTCATTTCATGTCATAGAATCAGATGGGTGATGTGCTCGACTAAATACTCAACTCTAATCCTTGCTAAACCTTGCATCTTCCCAAGAAGAAGCGGTTCATTTTCTGATGTTTATTCTCTTGAAAGTTCAGGCTTTATGTATGGTTGTCATGGCCAGATTAAAAGATATAAGTACAAAAAGAAGCAAGCCCATGCTCTCCTTCTGCAAGATTTGGAACTGAATTTCAATACCTTTTGCGCAGAGCCAGGATCTGATAGAAGATCTCTGCAATATATTTCATTAAACTGACTGGTAAAGCTGGGAACATAGACAAGTTTTCAGTGCAAAAATTCATTTTTAAAACAAAAGCCGTTAGTTTGGAGCCAGGGTAAGACTGGAATAATTGCTCAATGTTTTAACACAATTATGCTAATGAAGAATCACAAACAGCTGTGGAGCAAAGGGAGCTGAGAGCGGGAGGGAGGTTCTAGGGTCATTTGTCAAACGCAGCATCCCTGCCCTCCCGTGGCTGCTCCTGCACAGCCCTGGGTGCCTGCATAAGTGCAGGTGCAACTGCTCAGTGAACTGGCCGGGAGTGACAGGGGTCACTAATCTGGGTCAAAATTAAGGCAAAGGAAAAGGTTGGTTTTAACCAGGACTGCTTCCCTGCTCCTAGATGTGCAAGGCTACCCAGCCACTTGTCCTTGCACCACATAGGGTGAGGAAGGCTTTGGATGCCATTTCTGGTTTGCAGCAGCTTAAAGCATTTGTGGGCTTACAGGCTATGATAGCTCAAATCAGCTGCATGCAAATCTCTCGGCTATCCAGGCTAGTGGGGGAGAGGTAGCTGGGGTAACCTGGATAAACCTAACAATTAAGAAATGTAAAAAACGCATATAACTTGGTTTTGAATAACATGAGAAAGTGAAGGAGTGAAGACCCCTCAGATGGCACAGAGACTCCCGCTCGCATAGCACACACCCTCTCAAGAATAGCCCCTTCTCAGTCCCCAGTCTGCTCTAAAGAGATAAAAAAAAAATGCTCTGGGGCCTTGCTCAGACCCGGGATTTGCTTTTTTGTTTGCATGTGTTTTGCTGCTGATTTTCTGTCTGGTTGATTGTTTTGGTGGTTTTTTGGATGCAGAAAAATGGGCAATGTGAAGAGCAGTAAGTTCAATAAGTTCCATTTTCCAAACACTCAGATGAAACAGGCTGAATTGAACCACCTGAAATGATCTAGGTTCTGCCATGGAAAGAAAGAGAAGACTGTCAAAATGGTCAGAAGGGAAAGTAAAGAAAAAATATTTGCTATGGACATAGAGAGAAAGACTCGGAGGAGCTTTAAGTAAGAAAATAAAGAGCGTCTAAATTTCCAAACTTGAACCCACTAAGACTAATGAAAGATTAATAGTTTGCAAACACAGTGCAATGTAGAGAGAAGACAGTCTTACTA